TGTGTGTAAGTAGTGAGTAATTGAACTGCAGTCAGAAGTATTGTTGACGTTCGTTGATATAGCGTTTGTTATAGAGCGACTGTTAGAAAATAAGTGTATCGTAAAGTTGTATTCGGAAAGAATAAACCAGTTTTATTAAGTAAGGACTTATGTCGCTAAAGTTTCGTCTGAACGAAGTTATGGAAAATCAATTAACAAACGGAGACGTAACAGTGGGATCATCAAAGCCGTCAAATCCACCTACAGGAAAAAACTTCTTCGCCATATCCTCCTTAAGATGGATGTGGCTAACAGTGCTGCTGATCTGGCCGGCAAGGTCACAGTGCTGGATGCCATATCTTGGCTGAAGTATGCCTGGGACTGTGTGCAGGCTGAAACCATTCAGAAGTGCTTTGCACACTGTGGATTCAGCTTTGCTACAACTCCCACGGCCTCTGCTGATGCCACAGAGACGGCTCCAGCCGAACTGCTGCCACTGCTTCAGGGGTCGTCATGGGCAGATTTTGTTGAGTGCGACAACGAGGTCACGGCAACGACGGAGGTGTTTGATGTCATGGAAACTGCCTCTGAGGTCGAAGAAGAAACAGAAACAGAAGCCCTAGCAGCTTCTCACATCTCGGCCCGACAAACTTATTCCCACTTTCAAGAAATAAGAGACCGAGCACTAGCAACCAACAACAAAAACTTCTGGACATTGCCCTCGCAGGTTTGTCTGCTGTCGAACTTGATGTGTCATGTGTTAAGCAAACAAAACTGTCTGATTTCTTTATGTAAGATGAAGTTGTGTAAGTTGATATTGTGCATGCTTTGAATATTGATTAAAAAAAATTATAAAAAATATTTGCTGACTATTCATAGTGTTTCCACAGTTCGCATTTTTCATTTAGCCTGACGATCGCTGCCTCTGACATTTACCTCTTAAAATGCAAAAATCTACGAAATGGCGAAAAAAAAACCCCATAAGTTTTAGACGTTGAAATCAAACAATAAACACATTAGTTGTTTAATGCCACTTTATTCACATAAATAATCACTCTCTGCTTGTCCACGAATTTGGCACGAAAGGTGTGAAATCATCAATCAGTCGCGCTTGATTACCACTCGCCTCTGGCCTGTTTTAGGCCCAGCATGGCCAGGTGGTTAGGATGCTCGACTCGCAATCTGCGGGTCGCGGGTTCGCATCCCACCAAACATGCTCGCCCTTTCAGCCGTGGGGGCGTTATAATGTGACGGTCAATCCCACTATTCGTTGGTAAAATAGTAGCCCAAGAGTTGGCGGAGGGTGGTGATGACTAGCTGCCTTCCCTCTAGTCTTACACTGCTAAATTAGGGACGGCTAGCGCAGATAGCCCTCGTGTAGCTTTGCGCGAAATTCAAAACAAACAAACAAGCTGGCTGTTTATTATAAATTTATTATGACATACATTTTTAACTTTAACAAGCTACATCATTGATAAGTATAATATTCTATTAGTTATATTCGTTCTATCGAGTTTCTTGAAATTAACGAGATTAAATAATATTATACTCAAAGCATTTCTAAAATTGAAAAAGTGTCGATTCAATTAGGTGACTGACGTCATTTACCTTACTATCAGTATCATGGCTGTAAAGAACTGTGAAACTGTTATATGGAGAGTTGTCGATTTTTATGTTATTATCACGCTGATATTGACATATTTTAAGGTAAGTTTGATAAAATTCGTAAAACCCACAGATTAATTATGTAGTTTTAAGTGTAGTGTATTTTATGAATACTAATTTAGTAATTACAACAAATAGACTCAGTGATACGGACTCCTAAGTTACTGACACTTCAGAACTCGCTGAGCCTGCACGAGAGCAAGGTAATATTATGTTATTAACTTAGTGAAAATAGGCTGGATTTATGTTAGTTGCTATTGTGTTATTGTTTGTATCAATTAACTTTGCGTTGTTAGTAGTACATAGTAAATAATTAAAATACTGCTGAAGAAGGCAAACAGGAGTTGCCAATGGCTCAAATTTTCAAAACAAAACACACACACACATTTCAATTATTATTATTACTAGGTCCTTTGTATTAAAAATAGCGTTTTGCTCTTAATACACGGTTATAATACTTTTTTTTTGTGTGCTCTAGTTTGATAGATATAACTATGAGCAAGAAGAAGCCTATGTGTCTATGTAGTTACATAAAGTATTAATTTTTGTAATATACCGATTACTGAATTCTGTAGTTTGGGCCTATGCAGTCAGTATTGTTATGTAATTATAAAGTATAATACTGAAAAATTAAAATAGTAATGTTAGTATGATTCTTGAGTTACAAATACAGTTTAACTGTAACAGTTATATGATAATGTTTTTGATATATTCAAGTAATACTAATACTGCTAATGTTGGAGTTATTTGCTAATTTTGTTTCTAGGACAGTATTATATTATAATTTGTAACTAAAGTTAAAAATATATCTTATTTTTTTTTTTTACAAATAAGGATGCATTGTGATTAATAAGAACAGTTGGGCTATTCTGTTCATATAGATGCCCATTCTTTGTAGTCTAACAGTTAGAATCTGGTGTTTTACTAATTTTCATTTGGGCTATATCCTGAGGTAGGTGACTGTTCAGTTAATAATATTAAAACATCCGACTAATGACTGCTGACCCATAAACCACATAATACATAGTCTCTTATCTTCAGAATAACATATGGAATACAAAAGTACAAAGAATTACTTGTTTCTCTGAGGTTATCTGCACACCTGCACTTGAGAAAAAGAAAAGTGTAAATCAATCATTTAATTTTCAGGAAGTTATTGATTTTCACTGTTAAACTCCTGTACACTACTGCAGACAGAAATTTATTCCATAAATCAATCACTCTGTAAGAAAAATTAAATTCTTAACTGGAGCCTAGCTTGCCTTTCCCAAATGTTCAGTTGTGTCTTCTCATCCTGTTGTCTTCAAAGTATAGTATAAAGAAATCTTCTCATAATGTTGTAAACTTTGATAAGATCGTTTGTTACTTACCCTTCTATTCTTAATAGAGAGTAACGTATATTAACCTATTCCCATAAAATAACTCTTCTGTTTCTGGAATCATGCTAGTAACCATCCTTTGAACCCTTTCCAGTAAGCCGATGTCCTTTCCTAAATGAGGATTCCATACTGCATTAACCAAAGTTAACAGTGGACATGAACATCAGTTATTCATACATGTTTCACAATGATTGTAATGCTTCCTTAGCCTATTAATTCATATAGGGATGGGATACAAAGATTTCTTTTAAATTAATTATACATAAGAAGTAATATCTTGACTCAATGGAAGTGGAAATGTTAGGGCACTTTGTAAGAATTATATCTGGCATTTAGTCTTTTTTTCTGAAAATCTTACAGAAATATGCATTAGTTTATGATGAATCTAGAGGTGTATGCTGACCTATAATTGAATAACATCCAAAACAGTTATGATTGGCTTTTGTCAGTAGATTTGTTTGATTTTTTTATCATAATTCAGACAGTGGTCATAGTATTGTTGTGTTACATCATCTCTGGAACACTCACCATTCCCAAACTTTTTGTGAAACTGTGAGGAACTTCTGAGACAATGAGCCAAAATCTCTTGGGTGTTTATTGTTTTTGAGATGGAAATGAGCTTGGACTCAAAGCTAATCTGCAGATGTATAATAAAATGTTCAAGGTGTTTTGGGTGTAGCAGATGCATATGTCATCACTATGGCATACCAGTTACAAAAGTTAGCTGTAAGAGAGGACAGAAACTGTTTCACTTGACTCTTTGACCATTGCAGACTATGGGGCAGCCATGGATTGAAGTATGACTTTCCTGCATTCCTGAGGAATTTAACTTTGACTGAGGAATTTCTTTTTGTTTTAGTTGGCTTTCCCAATTGAGAATGCATGATCTATCTCTATTCCTTTAGTTATGACCAATGAAAGTGAACATATTGGATGGATTAAATAAAAATAAATTCATGAGGAAATCCAACTTTACGTGAGGGAATGTAATCTTCCTGATAGCTTTCCCTTGAGTGGATTTAATTTTATTTCATTATTTTTATCCCTGGCAGCCTTATCCTCTATCTCCCTTTTTTCTCATTCCTGCCCTCTTTTTTTCTTCTCATGTCATCCCTCTTTTTTTGTCCATTTTTGTGTACTCCATTCCTTCTTTCCCTCTGCTCCTTCAAGAAGGGGATTTCAATGTCATTCTACATGCTCTTACTCAGCCTTCTTTCATATCATTGACTACCCCACTTGCTTTGCTATTTTTTGCCAGTGGTCATCGTGGGTCAGATGTGTGTGCTCTTGATGCAATAAAAGTTGCAGCTGAAAATAGAGGTGAAGGATACTACATGCTTGTGCTGTAACAAAATCTTATTTGCTCCAACCTAGATTATGCACTACCTATCAGTGTGAGTGTTACACAGCAAGATAAGATTAAAAAGATACATGGGGGTGTACTACATTGTCCCTTATCAAAGCCCTATTACACCTTAAAATCTACAGAGAAAGCCTGTCATCATCCAATTAAAAACCATGAAGGATAGCCACCTATCATCATAGCTACAGATGTTTCCTACACCAAAGGTAGTGAGAGAGGTGGTTGGGCATTCATCGTTTTGCAGAGCAACAACATTCTGCACGAAGCTTGGGGAACATTCAAACTTCTGACAAGTATAACAAGATAGAGCTGGAACCATAAAGCAGTCTCTCCTCTGGATTGCTGAAAGCAAAGAACTTCAAATAAATAGTGCTTCCAACATAATATTTGTGACTGACTCACCACAGTACTGCTTAAAATTGAGACTGATTGGTCTCCAGAAAGCAAATTAATTGCATGGTAAGACAATCACCTGGATGTAAATTTCAGGTTATATACAGTAATAAAGGTAAATGAGGAAGCTGACAAACTTGGAATAAAAATCTTTTTATCATATCCATCACAACTCTACTAGTAGGATATCAACCTGTTCTGTATTAGTAAGGTGGAAGGAGCAACCATGAAAGGTCTTCTTCAACATTCAGATAGTATAAGACTGGTTGAAAACAAAGTATTGTATAGTGTAGTATAACTAGGAAAATCAAAAGTTGGAATATCAATAGGACAGTATATAGCCAGAAGGCTACTGGTAACAGCAGTAAAGAATTCTATCTCCTGTTAGGCAGCCAATCTTCACATGAGGGGGGTCAATACCTGTTAGTGCAACCCCTGTTATTATCACCTAGTGCTCAACAGTTTCACTCGACAAGACTATTCAGCAGCACAAAAAAAGATTATAAAATTTTGCTTAAAATAAATTATCATAAAAACAGAAAAAAAACCTCATAATTTCTGGTTGTGATTTCTCCCAATCAACTACTGAAAACTTACATGTATAAAGAAGCTGGGACTGCCTTAAGTGATGCCCATTACCTTAAATAAAAAAATTAAAAATAGTGTTCATCATTTTAGTAGGGTACCAATGGTGGCCCACAGGAATAACCTGTAATTTTATTTATAAAGCAATTTAAATCAGGAATAATCCATATGCTTTGGATCCCTTGATCTTAGCCTTGAAAAGGACTATCCCATGCTTAATATAATATCAAGGTTCACTATCAATATTAATGTTCTAATCTGTAAAAGGTAACCAGTAATTCCTAAATCACCTTACTTTCAATATTTTAAATAAGAATGGATTCACTCAATCTGCATCTCTCTGCTCAGCTTTCCAACGGCTGTTGTCACGAATTCCTTAGCCATGTGGTCAACTAATGCACGGGTCCTGCCAAGAGAAAACTTCCAAAGACAATATTCAACTCACCGAAGGTCTCTGTTTTTCTCTTCTTTTCCACGTATCCTCTCTGCCCTTCATACAGCTTGTGAATTCGTCATTAGGAAAATTAACTGTTAAACTTCTACTCATGTTAGCATTTAAGTCTTAGAAGCTCTGGCCGCTTAATGCTTAATTATGTGGTGGGGTGAAGAGAAACAGTTTCTGACCACCCCTGTTTATATTTCATTCCCCTAAGGGGAATGAAATATACTTTGAACCTAAATTCCTATCATGCTAGATTGGATTTGAGTAATGAAGTCTGTGAAAACTGATAATTTGGTGGACTGTGCAAAAAGCCTGAAATTGTAATCTCTCTCTTTCTGTCCATTTATCAATGATATTGTCATTTACATGTGTCCCATTTTGATCATTCACTTAATTAAAATAAACTAAAACATTAGAAATAGGTGTTAAGAAACTTCATTGTTTTGTATGAAATTGGAGATTTCAATCAAATTATAAATTCATATTTTGTTCTTTTCAAGTTGATGTAATGTTTTGTAAATTTATACTAAAGTTTTATTAAAACAACTTTTACTTCTGTAGGAAGTAGGTGGTGCAAATTACCATTATGGTGTTCTTGCTGCCGAGTCCTCATCAGAAAGTAAAAATTTTTGTATTATGTACCTTGAAGACTTCTTACCCTTGCCAACTGTCAAGCAGAAAGAGGTATGAAGAACTTATTGATGGTAATTAACTGGTATACTTACTTTACAAAATTCCATATTATAGTATCTTGTAAATTCTGTGATTAACATAAAAGTATCTTGTTTGTCAGTTTTATTACATCTTTTATAACCTTCTGTTGAGCAGAATGACATACAAATAGTCTGAAAATATGTTAAAAGAAATTTTAAAAGCACAAATGTTATTAAAGGGAAAGGCATATTTAACGTTGTTTGATATGTTTTCAGGTTTGTACGAGAACATCTCTTATTGTTAATGCTAGCTATTTTCAAAGCCAATAACTTGCAAATGAATCATATGGTATTGGTCTAATATTGGGAGGAGAGGTAAAATACACTGTGTGTTTTCTGGTGGTAATGTCAATTTTTAAATCCTAATTTAGTTTTTTTCAATATTTTAATCCTAAAGTGATTTTTGATTGATTATTAAGAAATTTTTGAATGGATTCCTAGAAGTATGTTTTAGTTGGGCAGTTGCATTATATAAACAGTAGTGCACATTGAGAAAATGAGATCTGTGAGGATTATGTGCTTAAAATTAGGTTATGTTATCAATGGATTTTCTATTTAAAAAATTACCCCACCTTCCCTTTTTTTGCATGTAAACTAATTATTCATGATGTATTTTCAGTGTTTGTATGGTATCTGTCTACTTTTTGATTTGTACATTAAATTACTATAACTTAAGTAAATTAATTTTAATGTATACTGATAAACCACTATTTTAAAGCTATTTATTAATTTTACTTGTATTCCAATCTCCATATGTCGTGATTACATTGTGCAAATCTCTCTTCTACCTTTTTAAGTTATGCAAAACTGAATTTTGAATTTTAAATGTGTTTTAAATTTGTGTTAAATGTTTTCATATTGTTATCAAAAATAGTTTTAATAACTGTTAAAGAATTTTAATAGTGTCAAAGTTAGTTGTAACTTCATGCATTCAATAAAAATATATATCAAACACTAACAAAATGCATTGCCTTGTGTCTCGTCATAGAAATGAAAAGTCAGTGCATTGTTTTTGTGGGAACCAACATGATCCACAATCACACTCGGCTAATTAGTGCCAAAATAGGTTGATTTTCAAAAAAGAAAAATTGGATCCATGACCTTATCATGTTATAATGAGAATCATGCTAAAACTAGTCTCGTATTGAGTCAGCAATGTAAACTTAAAAGTGTGTAAGATGAATCAACAATGAAACTAACTTTGCGTCAGTGATAAATGTCAGACTTACATTAAAGATTATGAAGAAAGATAGAAACTGGATGATAGTGAAGCTGGTTAAATAAAAATCTTTAGAAGAACTTTGTAAGGATAGAAAAAATATGTGAACATTTTTCGTCCTAAGTGCCTGTATGTACTTGATATAATAAAATGTTTTTATATTAAAACATATTAAAAGATAATACTAAACATTTAATGAGAACTACTGTAACTTAAGGAAAATATTTGAATTGTCTGCATCATTGAGATATTAATCCCATGGTGGTAAATAGAAAGACTGAGAAATTAAAAAATAAATAGAGCACCAGGGCTAGATAAGTGTCTTCCTAGGGTTATAAAGGAGGCCAAATATCAGGTATGTGAGCCTGGTTCTTTCATTTTTGGTAGGTTAGTGGAAAGTGGGTAGATGCCTGAGGGCTGGAGAGTTGTCAGTGTTACTCCTATTTTTAAAGATGGTGATTTGCCCTGAAAACTATAGGACAGTTAGTCTTACTTCTGTAATGAGAAAAATTCTGGATAGTCTCATAAAAGAAGGTTCACAAAAACATTTTGTGAAATATCATTAAAGGAAACCAACATAGGTTCACCATAGTGGATTCTAGCTTACTAATCTGTTGTTACTTGGCATCTGGACTTGATGTACTTAGGTTTTCAAAAAGCTGTTTGATCAGGTGCCACATAAAAAATTAGCAAAAAAATGACATTGGTAGGGATTGGGGGAAGACTTGTAGGGTGGTTGAATGATAGAAGGCTAAAGGTTATTATTAATGGAGTCCAGTTAAACTGGACCCTTATTACAAGTTCAGTGGACTCAGGGGTCATTACTTGGAACATTTCACATTTATACTAATGATATTGATAGAGTCATAATCAGTAAATTAGTAAAATTTTCAGATGACATTTAACTCTGGTATATTCAGCTATATTGAGGATGTTAAGGTGTTAAAGAATAACTTGGATCAATTGGAAATTTGGACAAACATATAGTAAATAACCTTTAATTATTCTAATTGCAAGGAATGCATTTGGGTTATCATAATTTGGATCACATATTTATTATATATAGTAACTCATTAGTGCAACTGAAGAAAAATATGTTGGCATTTTGGTATATAAGTCACTTAAGTAATCAAAGCTAATATAATTTTATAGCACATATAAACATAATTATGAGCAGAAAGAGGTAATTATCTCTTTATAAAAATCACTAATATCTCTCTTGGAATAATGTGTATAGTTTTTGTCAGAGGATGGTTACTAGGATGATTCTGGGATGCCAAGGCTTATTTGAAAGGGATAAGTTCAGAACTCAACTCATTTTATCATGAGAAAAGAAGGGTAAGAGGTGAAATTGTAGTTTACAGTATTATCCTGGAGATCAATAGGATAAAGACCTCTGATTTCTTTTTGTTATATTCTGATGACAGGATGAGAGTACACAAGTTGAACATTTTGAAAATATGGACAGAAAAAGCTTCAGTTAAGATACTTTTATTTTTCTAATAGGGAAATTGATTTATGGAATGAATTGCTACCAGAAATAATGAAAGCCAGCACTTTACGGGAATTTAATAGGGTTGATGATGTACTGAAAAATAAGGGTAGATTTAAATTTCTGGTTTTCTCAAGGCCAAATGCTCCTTTGTTATCCATATTTTAACTGATTGTTGAGTTATGGCTGATGTGCTAGATAACTGTTTTCCATTTTTTTTCATAATGGAGCCTTAGAAGAGAAGATTAATTTTTGGTTTGTTGTAGTGATTACAATATTTTACTTGGGAAAAAAATTTAGCTTTTAAGGTAAAAAAATAAAAATCAACACAATAAGGTCACTTATCATTTATGTATTGAAGTTTTGATGATGTTTTTTTTCTAGAATATTCAGAATATTGGTATCTTCCATTATGAACACAGTTCCATGGTTTCAGAAAGAAGTTCTGAAAATCATGAAAATACTTTTTTAATATTTTCAGGACTTTAGGCCACTCCTTGACCAGTCTAACAGAGAATTCTGTGACACACCACCACCTGAATATCACCCCAGTTTTGAAGAAAAAGTAGTTCTGGTGAGAACAAGCAACTGTAGTGTGGTATCTCAGGCTCAGGTAGTACAGAATTTGGGTGGAGCAGGATTACTGGTAACTGTTCCTGAAGAAAACATGGTAAGTATCTGTGTAAACATGCAAGAATCTATTGTGATTTGAAATCGCTTTAAAATACTCATTAGGGTGTGTAAATTTATTCATCTGCCATTTTATTTAAATTATCTCATTTACTGTATTGACTTGAAACAAAATTCAGTAGTGCAGTGTTAAATATGAGTACTGGAGCCCTTTGAAAATTTGTGTCACGTGTGTTGTCACCATCAGATTAAAAATTTCATATTCATAGCCAAATTTCTTTTTCTGGATTTCCGTGCTCTGGCAGTACTACATCCCTGACAAAAACTGATGTAAAAGGCTTGTGTTCTGCTGGTGAAAATATCTCGCATGTTGGTTGTGAAGTAGATGTACTCCATGAAAACATTACATTTTCTAAAGGAAGAAAACAAATTTGGGTACATTTTGACTCATTTTCTTTGCATGTTTTGTATACGAAACAAATGTATTAAGTTGAGGCTGTAAACTGTTTTAAAAAGTTATTTTTTTCAAAGTTTCAAGACACTGTGAGATTTTTGTTTTTAATTATTATCAAGATTTATGTGTCTTTGAAAACTATGACAGTACTTGAAATGACCTTTTTAGAATTAAGACTCTGAAAACCTGTAAAGTATACTCAGTACTGCCTAAATTTTATAAAATTCCTTGAAAATAATAAATTCTTAGTGAAAATTGGCAACTGATGAACAGCCAACAATCTCCATGAATCATTATAAAGTTGGTAAACATCACTCTACTGATGTCTATTTATTATCCTCACATGACCACTATTAATCTATTGGTCAAGGGGTCACACATAAACAGGTGAAATTTAAAGTGTTGGTAATTTTCAAGCTATGCTTAATTATTTTAGGGCAAAAAAATGACTGTAGTGTTTCCTAATATGAAACTAGACTTTATAATAAAAATAAAAGCTGACTTTGCTCTTGCTAACTGTGACATATGAAAACTATTGGATCTAACTACTATACAAGGAGACAGAAGGCAAATTTCAGTCATATAATCAGTGTTAAATACATGTAATAGAAATTCATTGGTACCAGTTCTTTTCTTTATTATCAGTTTTATTTTTGTCAGAAGGCTGTACTAAGCATCTGGCATATGAAATGATGGCAAGGTTTAAAGAACTTCAAATTAATTCAGATTAGTCTTGCTTTTGAACTATTCACTTAATTTGTATTGGATATCTTATTGAGAAGATACAACAACTGAAAGTTATTTCTGCATATTTGTATTATTTTGTATCAAAAGCTTAAAGATCAGAAAAAATTATCTGATGCATCACCGTTGTTGATTCAGTCTGTGTGTAATATGGACACCTTACTTAGCAGACTTTGAGTCCTGTTGTGTGATAGGTGCTAGGTGTTGTATATTTTGTTATTCTCTAAACATGAAATGGATTTCTTATATGTTTGATGATCTCCTTCCTTACTATGTACAACTAGATCGTTGACAATAGCCTTGACTAACTCAATTATAAAACATTGTGTAATCCTCGGTACTGTTTATTTAAAAAATGTTATAACAAATTACACAAGACAGTTCATAAAAACTGGAAAATTACATTTACATGCCGAGAAGCAAATTCATTTAGGCACTAATAGATTAAAGTCTACATGGTAATTCCGATAGTGATGACAAACTATTATATCTTCACCTAACTCAGCAGTGGAGTATTTATATGCTGCAGCTCAGCATACATCAGTGTCACATGTTTACAGTTATTAACATAGCAGTATGTCACAAGCTAATCCTCAATAAACACTTTGTACAAAGCAGGGGATGTTGAGTTGCATCATATACCATAGTTTAAGTTAAGAGAGATAATTGCACAAACCTTATCTTGGAAACTTGCAAGTTATCATTAATAGAAGTTCTGTGTGTGTATGTGTAATGTGATGATTATGTGCCAAAAGATACCTGCATCTCTAAGAAAAAACAATTCTAACTTAATACCTCACAAACTTTACTGTGTATGTCAAACCTTCATTTAGATTTTGAAGTTTTTGAACTTTTAATATATCAGTCTTGATAAAGAAATAAAGCCCCCCCAGTGGCAAAGTGGTATGTTTGTGGACTTACAGTGCTAGAAGACTGGTTTCGATACCTGTGGTTGGCAGAGCACAGATAGCCCATTGTGTAGCTTTGTGCTTAATTACAAACAAACAAAGGAATGAACAAAGTTTTTATATAATAAGATAATGGATTCGTATTTCGAGGAAGTATTTAAGAGAGGACATACACACAGTAATTTGTATTGGAATATGTAGATTTTCAGGGGTGCTGTCCAAGTTTAAAACACTAACTTAATTTTTTTCTCTATGTTTACTATGTTCTTGAAAGTATGTTATTTCCAAGATAAAATTTGTTTGTTTTTTAACTTTTTTGCTGTGTGCAGAATTTGTTACTTTTTGTCACAATATTTTACCTTTTAAATATAATTTCATAAAACCATATGTTAAAAACTGTTAAGATATTCAGCTCACTTTGCTCGTAACATAAAACTACAAAGTTCTTGTACTAATTTCATAAGAACTTTGTTACAAAAAATCATTTTAGTGCTATGTCAATAGGAAGTATTTAGTGAATGACTTCTCCATTTTGTAAACATATTTTGTTTATACTTCACATGTTACAAAAATGTCAGACACCAGCTACACAATGCATATCAACTTGGAAATTCAGGAAAGGCATTTTGCTATTAGTATACAAGGTATGATTAAGTTGAAAGATTCATAAGAAGTGTTCATATTTGTAAAGTTCATAATAGATGTATGTATTTATTTATAACTATAAAAGAAGCATGTGGATTGTAAGGTCAGAAAATAATTGAAGTCCTGTTAGTGCACAGAATACATGAAAAGGTCTGTAGTAATGCCATCATTTACAAAACTTCAGTATACATAAAATTTATAAGGTGAATAATGACTGTAGTTATATATTAGTATACACAAGAAACACAAGTTGTAAGTTCCATTCTGTGTGTTTGTTCACATATTAATGAAATCTTATTCTTTACAGAGGTTGATTTTTTGTGTTGTTCAGATGAACCCTTTTTGAAAATATATTTACTATTCAGAGCTTGAATTTAGAAAATTTGTACAAGAAGTTTTCTTAACCCATTGACTGCTGGTTTGCTGTATAGAGTATGGTTTTCCTCTGGCAGATGAATATAAGTGTGCTGTATACGGTGTACAGCTTGCAAATATTCCGTACAAGTTTAGAGTAACCACAGTCAATGGGTTAATGTTTTCTTTGGGAACAAGGAAAAAAATTGTTGAAAATTAAGAACCTGTTTTTTAGAGTGCAGTAGAGGGTAACAGCTCCCTAGCACAGGACATCAACATTACAGTGGCTTTGATTTCTGATAGCTCTGTTCGTCAACTTGAGGTGAGTTTTCATTATTAGTAATTCTGATGTTTGATAATTCTCATCTGAAATTTGAGTTGAGTGTATGCTGTTCATTATTTTGCTCTAATTAATTTCTAATTGTTGTACTCAATAAACAGAATTGAGTTGGCACTATGTATTACTCTGATTTCTGCTAGCTCTGTTCACTGAGTAAACATACATTTTTACCATATGCTACCAAGATTATCTGCTTATTGACTAGAGGTGATTAGATACTATATGTTAATCTTATTTGTCATATTTCTGTTTTTCCCTATCTTCAATATTGGGAAAAATATCTTAAATATTAATGTTATATTCTAAATTTTACTGAGATTAAAATGTTCTTTCACATAACTGGATTGATAAAAGCATAACTCAAAAAAAGAATGTAGTAAATAGTTATTTCCAGGGTAAAGAGTCTTAGTGCATTTGTATAAATTCCAACAGTTATTTTACTGCATGTTTTGAATGTCCTATATTACATGTTAGTGTTAAAATGTTTAACTTTTAGTTAAATATGAAGTTTGAAATAATACAGTGTTACTAATTTCATGATTTTGTTTTACATCATTCACAAAGCAATTTTTACTTCTTATACTTTCAAAGCCTTGCTGCTCAGTATTTACTTTTTATTCAGTTCTAAACTTAGATTTAAAAATAAACCTAAGTATAAAGTACTGAAAAATATTTAAATGAAAATCATTAACCCTCTTGCTGCAGGTAGGCCAAAGTGGCCTTTTTTTTGTTTTAGAAAGTTTCATTCAAAATTCAATTTAACTATTTTATTGTCATTGTAGATAAGTAAACGTGGCATCCAAATGTATGTAATAGATCAATTTTTGATATTACATAAGTTTTAAGTTCGTTATTTTATAAGGAAATATTTAAAAAATCCTCAACCTACCCTGGTATGAGAATTGTGACATTTGTTTTCCAGGTCTTCCCTTTTCTCTTATTTTTTACCACCCCTCTGAGAAGTACAGGATTTGACATAAATTACTCATTATAATATAGCTATTAATGAGGCAAAGCATAATTTTTACAGTCTTCAATCTTCTTTATTTATGGAGCCATAAACAAAAAAAACGAGACCCACTTGCCACACACCTACCACATCATCTCTTTCACAAATTGCCAATGAATCTGTCTGTTGTTTTATACTATATTATTTATAACCAATAGAAAGTTAAAGTTTTAATCTATCAAATGATTAATTATACTGTTTTCTGTTCAGAGTATTGTCTATTTTGCCTCCAGTTCGAAAATTTCTCTCGAGTCATTTGCATCAACCAGCTTAGTTAAATTTTTAAAGGCTTTTATTGCATAGTTATAAAGCTAGGTAAATTATGGTAGTTATAGGGTATTGTGTGCTTTGTTCATGTTATTATTCTGTGTTTTTAGGTGCATTATTTGACTGAATAAAAAATCATTTAGTCTACTACTAACATTAATATTAAAAATAGTAGGCTTAACTTTCATGGACAGTCGACAGCAAAAGAACAAATAAACACAGGAAAGTACCATATTTCTTGTTTTTTGTGTATGTTCTTTATTTATTGTTATAAAAGTAAGTAAAATGTAAAAATGAGAAATTTATTAGGTTAGATAATGAAAAAAAAAAAATTCATGAAGCATGTTCACGAGCAGTTTGTGTGTTACACAATTTAATATGGTAACTTGAGCTACACTTTTACCAAGTGATTTACAACTTGTGTGGTAGGATTATTGGTTAGACATGGGTCATAGGGCAATAAAATAATACAATTTAGGTATAAACAGATGTGTATACTGTTACAATCTTTAAGCTATTTAGGACAAACAATTGTAGTTTCCTGTTACAATTTGCAGTCATTCTAGAAAGAAAAAGGTAATTTAGATTTATTTCATATTTTTTATGGTGGTTACAAGTTTGGTCAAGTTGACCAACCTCATATAGAGTTAGTGTAGAAAAAATAACAGATAAAATATAAAGTTTTATGGAAAAAAAAAACGTTTTCAGAGATTACACAAATTAAAGTTGACAATTTTCAGGTGAAGAAAAGTATTTTTAATCTTAACATAAAATCATCTTGCACTCAGAGCAGTCAACTCTGACTTCACATATTCACAGACAAAATTTTCCTAAAAATACTTAATTACAAATAATCCTATTTTATATGTACAAAAGACTCGTAATGTTTACTGAACACTTGCAAAATTTCATGAAAATACACAAAATATATTGTAGTATGAAAACTGATGGCCACTTTGGGATTACAAAGCCAGTGTACTCTGCTGAGCCTGTAGTCAGAAGCTTAATTTATATGAATTCAACTTGATAGAATTTCTTAAAATTATTAACTTAAGTAATATTTTTTAAAATTAGCTAAAAATATGTCAAAATAATATTAATGAAAACAATAGTTCAACAAGTTACAAATCAATCTTGGTACAAGTCAACTTTAAATTTTAATTAGGCATTTTATTTGTTTTTCTTGTGAGATATGCAAGTTATTGGCTTTGAACAAGAACTAATCTGGATCTATATCTGTTTATAATACTGATGAGTATTCATGGTTAATGCACAGATGCTTCTCACACGCACACAAACAGTTCAAAACAGAGGTCAGCATTTCTTTGTTTTAAATTGATGAACAATATATTCAACACTCTTTGGGATAAACTGCAAGAGAATTAGGAAAAATCACGTGTCTAAGAAGTTGTAAATAAATGAATCACTGGCATAATTTATCATAGGGTATATGAAAAAAGCATAAATCCTCACTGACATATAGTTTATGACAACCTTGTTTTAAAAGCTTTCAGATTCAAGCTGAAAGGTTATGGAGTTACTTTTAGTTATGTTTACATGAAATATGACATGATTACTTTTATTTTGTGCAAACAAAAGGTCCTTTAATATTTCAATGCAATTTCTGAAAGATTGGATGCAAATGTTTTTGCAAAGCTCGTTTTGGATTGAATGGACTACTGATTAACAAAAATTTTTACTGTACAAGATTCATTATTAAACTTAGGTTTGAGGAGCAACAAACTTATAGATGTGTCATGGCCTGGTGGATAGGATGCTTTACTTGCAATCTTTGGGTCATGAGTTTGAATCGTATCACAGCATATGCTCACCCTTTCAGCCATAAGAGGCATTATAATATGATGGCCGATCCCACTTTTCATTAGTAAAAGTGTAGCCCAAGAGATGGCGGTGAATGGTGTTGACTAGCTATCTTCCCTCTAGTCTAAATTAGGGATGACTAACACAGATCTATGTTTGTGTGAAATTCAAAAACAAACAGAAAATTATATATCATTATTATAAAAAGTAGCATCAGAAAAGTATAAATATCTCTTAATCAGTTTGCTCATCCAAATAGAAAATCCCATAAAGAGTTAGTTAGAAAAAATCTAAATTAAACTTTTTATTACAGGCTGCTGTTAAAAAGATGCTTTTAAGATATTTTGATGTCCAATTAGAACTTCTGGTAATGAAAGTATTGTAGAATATAATTCCTATGTATGTTTTTGATATGAATATTTTTTGTACAAGATATTTAAAAAAATCAAAGGACACTAAAATTATTTGTATGTCTTACATTAATTTTTAAGACTTAGATGAAAAATAAATGTATAAAGGAAAGATGGCAAAAATTTTAATGTTTTGTTTAATGAGATTGTAATATTTTGTCTTTGGGTAAAATACATGCAAAAAAATACGACATTTTGTGAAAAACAGGAACTAAAAATAACGACACTAGAAGTAGAATTTATTTTTTGTAAAACTTTTTATGGCATAAACTTCATATATTTTCTATCAAATGTAAATTAATTCATAGATAAATTTATTCTGGGTCTATTTCACGGGACTGGACGCTACATTTCCATGGAATTCAACTTAGTTCTGTAATAATAATAATAGTTGTATGTAAATAAACTGTTTTTTGACTAATGTTACAAGCATTACATTAACCCAAACTATTATATTTATTTTCAGAACCTAAGTGCTGATGTCAGGGTTTTGCTTTTTGCCCCTGATTCATTCAACGTTGATTTTAGTCTTTTTATCATCTGGGTTGTAGCAGTATTCACTGTAGCAGTAGGATCATGCTGGTCAGGACTTGTGAAACAGTCATTGTAAGTATTAATTTCTTCAGTCTTTTATAAACCTCTTGTATGGGTTTTGTTTGTCCCTTATGAAAAGTTCTAGACTCTCTTCACATATAACCTTCATTTTTTATAGTTCCTTTCATTCTTTCTCCCTCCTTGACTATCCAAGAGAGTGGCACACCTTCTGTAGTTCATCTGTATGTTATACTTTCTCCCCTTCCCATCCTTCTATCCCTTTTTTGTGCTCTTTCATTCTTTTTGCCATCTTTATCCTCCTCACTGAATACTGTTCTTCATGCTCTTAGCCTTTTTCTCTTTAAACCTTTAGTTTTCTGTTCCTTGTGCCATATTTTGCTTAAGTCCTGTTTCTTACTTTTTTGCCTGTGGCCATAGGAGATCTAACATGTATGTCATTGCTGCTTCCCATATTCTTCATTATCCTGCTTTGGTTTTCTCCCACAACTCTCTATTGCTCATGAAGGAACAGCATGTTCACTCTTATTTCCCTTTCTTTCATTTCTCACTTTTATTCTCATTCTGATCCAAATCATTTTCTTTGTTCCATACATGTGGTTCATTGTTATTTGGCCTTCACTGCTCTTTTTCACAGTTCACTCTCCTGTCTGCTTTATTGGATGTAGATTCACATCAACCCTTTCTGATCTCCTTTCACCAAATCTGACATCTTACTCTCTCTCTCTCTCTTGCTGTTCATTTTTATTATCCATTGGAGAAGATCATGCAGGTTGGCATTTGGACTACCCTATGTATATTTGTTGCATGTTATCTTCATCATCTGACCATCTCTTCTCCTTCAGGATATCAACTTCCTCCCATTACCATCCTACATACACCTTAATGGCTCTTACTGAACAAGTTCTTTTCTTTCTCTTTTACCATTACAGGGTTTCTATTCTATGTCTCGGGATCCTGCCGAGTGGCATGCAGGCCTGCCAAGATATACTTAACTTTAAATCTGCACCAAGCAGCCATTCAGGTCTGTAAAGTTCACTGATGAGAATGGGTGTTCCACAAGACTGCTAGGAGTTTCCTCACAGTATATTATTTACTAAACAAGGCCTGATGCAGACCATACATACTAATGGGCTACCATGAGTAAAGCAGTGTTGGGATAGCTGCATATCCCACTGGTCCTTGTTGAATAAACCTGGATTGAAATGCTTTCAAAAATAGGGTTTGTGTTCACCCACACACAATCTTAAGGTGTTGCATTCCTCAGGGGCCCAGTGCACCTATACTCCCCTTCTTCTAGTGGAGTATGGGAGTCCTTACCACTCACCAGTTCTGAGCCACTGGGTTGGTGGACCATGGAGACTTCCTCCTGAGTGTGACCAATTCCACTCGATAGAGAGTGGGGTGGTGGTGTCCTGTTGGTGTAGATGGTATGAACCCTCCTCCTGCTGTGAAATGGACAATAAATTCCAAGTGCTGCCTGGTTTTGGTCTGGAATTAGACCACCAAATATAGTTCACCCCCCCCCCCAAATTTAATTTTTCCTACCTTACCACTGCCTTGAATTGGTTCCTGGGCAGTCTGGTGTTGGATTGTTGTAGAACCAGCCAACATAAATCCTCACTCATGTGTTTTGTACGAACCCTCATCCTACTGTGCACTGGACGAAAAATTCCTGCCACTGCCTGGTATTGGGCTGGTAATGATCCACCATGCTTGCTTTGACCCATTCTACTGTTGCCCAGATGTTGAGTTTCTGGTGGCCTAGTGTTAGATGTGTACAGGGTCAGCACAAATGAACATTACTTAGAGTGGTGGAAAGGAAGTCAACTTTCCCTTCTTCTCTCTGCTATGGAGGTGAAAATGGTTGGGACTCTCAGTACTATGAAAGAGATGAAACATACCCAATGTTGCTGGGTTTTGGATTTTAGTTGACTCACCATGTATGGTCTAATGCACCCTAACCACACTATGCCATAAACACTCCATTTCCTTTAGTGTGTTTCTGGACTTGTTTTTTTCTGCATGACTTGGCAACACATATCTTCATTACGAGTGAAGAGTATACCCTGGTACAAAAGGGGTGTAGTCTCCTATGGGTGTGCCTCTGTACTTTCATGGTATAGGATGTCATGTTACATGGATTCTCTTTGGGCTGTTTCTGAAGGGGGCTTATCTAGGTAGCTTTTGCACCGGTCCCTCCACCACTTCATTGTGGGATTCTAGCTGATATGTGAGAGGAGGTAAGGTAGCATGTCAGAAGTTAATATTTTTGAACACTGAAAATGTATTTCTGATAGATATTTACTTTTTACCACCTGTCCTCCCCACTTCTGGTGTAAGAAATATCATTACACAAGAGTGTCAAATTGAGAAATGATGATTAAACAATCAGTATAGAGGGATTCAGCTGCACTAGGAGGGTGTGTAGTACTCCTATTAGTGGAGGATTGCCACTTGCTCATTTGCATGCTACAGTGCAGCAGTACCATGTGGAAACATGTGAGTTTAGGTGGGAGCCTCAAGGCTAGTGGTAAGCAAAAAATTGTTCATATAGAAGGAAGCACAAAATTGAGGAAAGCTAATATGTGAGGAGAGGTAAGTATCTATCAGAAATACATTTTCAGTGTTGGAAAATGCTAACTTTGGATTTCTAAATGAAGTAAAGCAAGTGTGAAATTGTCTGTAATGTATGAGGTAATACACATAGTAATTTTTAATATTTTATTATAGAAGGTTGCGGTAATAACTTCTATATAATAATAATTGTGTATGTTTGATTCTTTCTATTAACAGAAAGCATAGGCATAGGTTGTTAGTAAAATCATTGATTCAGTTGCTTGAATGATAAAACAGGCACTTAAAGGAGACTACCAAATTGTCAGGTACTGAAATAGAGCATCATGGAAAGCCGCAAACACCACGTGAGTCTGAAGAGAGTTCAATGAGGATTACACCAATTCTAGTTGCAGTGTTTGTTCTTTGTATGGGTGCGATGTTGCTCTTATTGTACTTTTTCTTTGACTACTTAGGTGAGTAACTGTTCCTCTTCAAATAGTTTAGTCATATGTGATTAGATATGGTGGCTTAGCAGTAAGTTTGAAGGCTTACAACACTAAAAAAATCAGGTTTTGATACATGTGATGGGCACAGCAGTAGTAGCCTGTACTGTAGTTTTGGGATTAACAACAAACAGAAGATAACATTATTGGTAAAACTAACTGATTATCGTAGTTTCATAACTTAAAATTGTTTCTTAGTTACATTTGTTAGAAAAGATTGAGTATATCATTTGACTTGCTGTGTGCTTTATTTATTTTCGTTAAAAAGTCTACCTATAATCTTGACACTGTATAACAATATTTCTGATAATTTTGTGTTATATTCTTCACATAACCATTGCAATCTAGAAGTATGCTGATTTTTCTTACATGACAAATATCAGTAACTTTTGTTCCAGCTGTTCACCAAGAAAATTGTAAATTTTTTCAACTTACAATTTTAATTACTGTATATAGTATTGATAAAAATCAAGAATATAATTTTTTTCTTTTTCATGTAGTCACTGCAATTTTAGTAGTATGAAGATTGTTTTGTTTATAAAACATTACCCTAGCAGAAACAAATATATTATCCTTGTTGATAAATGTTACTTAGTAGGCCTCAGCAGAAACAAATACACCATCATTGCTGATAAAATGTTACTTAGCAGGCCCTAGCAGAAACAAATACACAATCTTTGTTGATAAATGTTATTTAGTAGGCCTCAGCAGAAACAAAGACACCATCATTGTTGATAAAATGTTACTTAGCAGGCCCTAGCAGAAACAATTACACAATCTTTGTTGATAAAGGTTATTTAGCAGGACCTAGCAGAAACAAATATATTATCCTTGTTGATAAATGTTACTTAGTAGGCCCTAGCAGAAACAAATATATTATCCTTGTTGATAAAATGTTATTTAACAGGCCCTAGCAGAAACAAATACATTATCCTTGTTGATAAATGTTACTTAGTAGGCCCTAGCAGAAACAAATATATTATCCTTGTTGATAAAATGTTATTTAACAGGCCCTAGCAGAAACAAATACATTATCCTTGTTGATAAATGTTATTTAGTAGGCCTCAGCAGAAACAAATACACCATTCTTTTTGATAAAATGTTACTTAGCAGGCCATAGCAGAAACAAATACACCATTCGTGTTGATAAAATGTTACTTAGCAGGCCATAGCA